GCATCAGCATCAGCATCAGCATCAGCATCAGCATCAGCATCAGCATCAGCATCAGCATCAGCATCAGCATCAGCATCAGCATCAGCATCAGCTGCAAATTTTCGATGTAGTTGTTTTGAAATAAGGAATGAAACTATTACAATATAAAACTACAAAATACCTTTTTATTTTAAGTTCAAAATGAGCGAAGCAACAATTTTTTTTTCACGAAAACTGAACAAACGTATCTTGTCTAGATATCTAATACTCTTTTTAGTATAAAGACGGTAGATATACTCGAAGAATTAGCATACGTTTCCTATTCTAATTTTCCTTCCACTCAACCCCAAACATCTTCCCATCTATTCCAATGTTTTGGTACTCGAAAGGAACCATTTTAAACCAATATATGTAATAAAACAAACTTGAGTCTTATATATGTATCAGTCATACCAAAAAGTTAGTAAGACAAAGATCTCTTTCCTTATTCCATAACGTGTTTACATTTATCAAGCTTCTTCACATTTCCCCATAAGAAAAAAACTAAATGCATGAATAAATACTTAGATAAAAAACAAAAACAAAACAAAAAAAAACAACGATTAGATGCAGGCGTCATGCACGAGATACGTAAGTTTAGTGACTCAATGAAAGCAGTTTCCATTCATTCTACTGTGATATGTAATAAAAGATTCTGATAAAGACTTGCAAGCATTTACAGCAAAAAATAAAAAAATAAAAAAATAGAGTAAAAACATTTTGTTCTTGTTTGACTTAGTTTATCTTTTTTCGTGTCTAAAAAAAATATAAAAACGTCTTTTTTTCCTTTCTCTTTTTGTTACTTTTCCCTTTTTTATATTTTTTTCGCGAAAAGCTTGAACGAGAACTAAAGGAACGTCAGGATGTTGAGATTACGTTAACGGAAATTGAAAAAAAAGTATGAGAAACACCTAATTGGCCGAAGGACATGCAAAATGAACGTAAGCTAAAGTAACTCACAGAGTCCTTGGAATATTTCACAGATCAAAACGTACTTTAGTTCCAGTCCCGCTGCTCCCTACCGTATATAAAATAAAAGCTATAGTAAAGTTGTCTTTGTCTGTGATTTTAAAACTATTTTTGGTGATTTTAAAACTATCTATCTTTGGTGATTTTAAAACTATTTTTGGTGATTTTAAAACTATCTATCTTTGGTGATTTTAAAACTATATTCGGTGATTTTAAAACTATCTTTGGTGATTCTAAAACCATCTTTGGTGATTTATAACTATCTTTGATGATTTTAAAACTATCTTTGGTGATTTTAAAACCATCTTTGGTGATCTTAAAACTATCTTCGGTGATTTTAAAACTATCTTCGGTGATTTTAAAACTATCTTTGATGATTTTAAAACTATCTTTGATGATTTTAAAACTATCTTTGATGATTTTAAAACTATCTTTAATGATTTTAAAACTATCTTTGATGATTTTAAAACTATCTTTGGTGATTTTAAAACTATATTTGGTGATCTTAAAACTATCTTTGGTGATCTTAAAACTATCTTTGGTGATTTCTATAAACCGCCAGCACCGATACGGAAACCCAAGATGCCTTTCCCACACCGTTTGTCTTCTGGTTGTGTAAACAGGGCCCTTGAGTATCACGATTAAGAACTGTTTCTGGCCTCACGCACTCGCCAATCGCATCTTTGATTGCAAGCAATTCGTGTTGCATGCATAGGCCTAAGACCCCAAGCAGAGGAACGAAGGACAAATGATACAAAAGGGAAGAAAAAGGGGCGGAGCTTGATTGCGTCATCAAGGCTTCCTAATTGTCATGACGAGACAAAAGACAGGCGTTTAAGTTTAAATGAACAAGATCAGGCAAACCACTCATGGGAAACCGCTAATGATGTCTGCTCATCAACGCCAATTTGTACAGACACGGAGCGAATCATCCCCACACCCCAACTCTCATGGGTTAAGGGGCCTGTTCTACAGTTTCATCTTTACAGTATAATATTTTGGTAGGATGCTGATATCGGTTATTTTGTATTTACTTTTGTGGATATGTCAGTGCATATGCATTTGCACGTATCATCACCCCATCACCCCTCCCCCACCATCACCATCACCCCCCCCACCCTCCCTCCATCACCCTTCCCCCACCCACACCATCACCACCGCCACCATCACACCACACCCACCCCACTCACCATCACCCTCCACCCTCCCTCTCTCCATCACCCTCCCCCCACCTCCACCACCATCACCACCACCCATTCACCATCACCATCACCCCCCCCCCCACTCCCACCCACACCATCACCTCCACCGCTACCATTACCACTCACCAACACCATCACCCCCCCCCCCCCCATTCCCACCATCACCACCACCGCCACCATCACCACCCCTCTTTCCATCACCCTCCCCCCCCTCACTCCCACCCTCCCCCCTTCACCCCCAGCGCCATCCTCACCATTATCATCTTATTCCAGGCAGGATATAACCATTATTTCCAACCTTTACAAACAAGTCACGAAGAGAAGCTGTAAAAACCGTTTTGAATTGTGCGTTGGGTGTCCTTGCGTGCTTCGGCGTTGGGGCGAGCGAAGACAGTGGAGGTTCGAGATAGCTAGACTACATTAAAATAGCCTGTTTTGGGGGTGTTGGATGAAGGGGGGTAGGGGTGGGGGGTGAGGGGT